GTGGTCATGAGCGATATTTACTTACGCAAGTAGTGTCATTAGGACTAATTTAGTAAGTGATGGCGGCCACTTCAGACCTCTGTAGTGTGGAGGACTAGTCCAGAGGACTAGTGAACGGTGTATGGTAAGGTGGCAAAAATCTGTGGCCTGGGACTGTGCCTTGCAGCAAGGTCCTGGGATCCAGTCAAGGAAATTAGCACCTGGAGCCCTTCTGCCTGCACACAGGTAAATGAGGGGCTTTGATGCCCGCATGCAAAAGCACAGTTTTATGAGGAAGCCCATGAAAAATAACACTTTGTCGCTTTGTCTTGCACATGAAACTTACAATAAGAAGAAAAAAAAATGAAAAAAACTTGTGAAAATGACTGTAAATACATCTCTGACCAGTTCTGCTATGTGTGGCTGGCAGAGCAATATGTTCTATTTCATGTAAACTTTCAGCTTCCTGTGGCTGGTTCTAGTGGTAGGCAATTCTGCAGGTATGAAGTGTTACCAAAATAGTTTGAAAGAGAAGAAAACACCAAACACATCCAGTCCTTTTCCTAGAAAACACTCCTTTCAGCATTGAGAAAATGCAGGGTGTACGTCTGTCTGGGCAGACAACCTATACGTTAATCCTACAGCAATCCCATGTCGAATTAATGGGGTACAGTGCTGTGCCTTCTGTTCACCCGGGTGGTTTGTGACTTTTGTGGTATAAGAATATGGTTTCACATTGTTTGAAAAGCAGTCAATCGCTTATGTATGCAAGCCTTGCTACTGTGTGCTAACGGCCTGGGGTCAAATGGAATTTAATGTGAGGTGGGAGCTGCTTCTAGTACAAGAATGAAGAGATCTCCTACACTGAGAGGCCTTTGTCATGTATTTGTTTGTCTGGGCTGACTACGTGTTGCAAAGGCTGTAAGGGTTTAAAACTGAGCGGCCCGGTTATTCAGCTGGAGTCTCATCCTTGGACCTTGCCCTGCAGAAGGTGATAGTGTTGCCAATAATAATAATAAAATGTGAAAAGCTCACTAAGCTGTACAGTGTTCGTGGTTCACAGTTGGTGAAGAACTGCACTTCGTTCCGTGGAGTCCCTGCACTACAGCACCTCTGGCACACGTTGTGCTGATATTACCCGCAAACTCCCTGTCTTGTCTGCCTGATTTAGTGGGAGGGAAGAGAGAAGAGAGCAGCAACTAGCTCACGTGTTGCTGATGAGGAGCACATCCCAGCATGCTTCTGTCTTATGCCAGGACTTGGCAAAAACTGCAGTAATAAAACGCCAAGGAGACATGAGTGGCTGGTTATGTGGCAGCAACTCAGACGTAACGGTGCTGAACACTGACAGCTTTAAAACCCTTTCTCCTGTCACGCATCTCCTGCACATCGTATCTGCCCTGTTCTAATGACTGTGAAAATGATGGGGGAGCCTTTGACAGGGTTGTGACCAGACTTCCCATGCACTTGCTTCGTGCTTGACAGAAACCACCCTGTGAACAGCAAAACGCAACCTATTGCTGTAGGAGGAGTTTTAACTTTCCCACGTAACTGAGCATAAATTAAGTTATAACATGATTTGACCATGGTAGTTTTAAAGCATTATTTACAATACAGGGAGGTTTTGAAATGTCACGCACCCCTAGTATAGAAGGAAAGGGGTAAGAACTAGTGTATGGTTTTCCCTAGTGAGAACAAAACTTGAGAGGCAGTGGAAGATGTTGCCCAGCACCTCTGGGCCCTTAGTTGCAGACTTGCTGGGGAGCTGGTGGGGACTGGACGAGACGGCGGCTCCAGCGTGCTTGCCATGGTGCCACCCCGTGCAGCAACTGACGGCGATTTCTGAGCAGTGCCTCTCTCCAGTACCTCCGGGGCAAATGGCCACTGGCTGCGTAAACAAAACAAGTTCATCGGAGGCACAGAAATTTTACTAATCAGATGAGATACACCCAAGATCATGCAACGCTCAGGGCATGTTCTGAGCTCGCTGTGCATGTGCTACAGAATTGGATCTCTCCGATGTATCCTTGGGCATGAGTGCTTGTCCCCTGCCTGGTGCAGCCTCCTGTGTTTTGCCCTGGCGATCCTTTGGCAGAAATATGGGAAGTCTTTGTAGGTTTTTGTGTATTGGCTAGTCTGGGTAACGGCAGCCCTGAAGATTAAAACTGAAGATTATTAATAACTGGAACTGGCTGTATCCTTCTGTTCCTCTTCAGCTTCAGTACAGTAGTCTCTGAATAGCATACTTAACTCTGAGAACTTTTTCACTAACTCGGTGTATAGCGCTCCTCTCTGGATAATGGGGTCATGGAAATAACAAAAGGTACCGCTCTTTTGGGGAAAAGGATCCATATCTGGAGTTTTTCCTTAAGTAAGTAGTTCTGTCTCCTTTCTGGGTATTTTTCACATAAGTAAATAAAAATATATCTGAAAAATACAAACCTGATTGTTTCCAGAAGACCATGCACACCTTATAATAGTGATCAGATAGGTGTGTGTACTTTTGCCAGAAGAGTTGTTAAACAGAAAAGGTTACCCCCCCTCAGTCTGGAGCTATAGTAGCTGCAGTTAGATGCAATAATTGACCTTGTGTTACACTTCTGGTCCATTGCAATGTGATGTGAAAGAAATCTGCCTCAAAACTCTGCTGATGTTTGTTGGCCTCTGGTGCTGTCTAGAGTATTTGTTTTCTGCTGTGCTGTGAAATGTGCTGTGACATTATTAAAAAAAATAAAATAAAATAAAGGCTTTTCTTGAGGACAAATTACCCTTTTGTCAGTGTGTTTTACTTGCTGATTTGTAGCAGTTCTCTTGACTTCTTCAGCAATGTCACTGCAATAGCTTCTGATGTTACTTGGATCTTGAACATCTGTTCTGGGGACAAGTGAGGGTTGTGAGCTTGATAGACGGTTGTTTCTTTATTGTCGGTCTACTTGTTGAGCTTACTCTGGAGTTGAGACCTTCAGTGTTGTCTTAAGTTTTTGGAGCTCCTTTGGGCCTCATGAAGAGCACTATTCATCATTATCGTCTCCTTAGTTAGGAGAATAAATAAGGTGAAGCTATTCATCTTAGAACATGCATATATCTTGTTCCATAAAATCATGTTGCTTTTGGGACATTCTGTGATATCCGATATCTGCGCGTCACATAAGTAGTAAGTAGGTGCATTTATCCCAAGAATGAGAGGGAAAACCAGTGCATTCTTACATACACCTTAAACTGTTGTGTTTGTGGTTATGAAAGTAAAACTTGTAGTGACTAAGTTGACAACTTAGTGCGTTAACCTGTGTTGCAAGCTGACATAAGTATTTTTACTATCCCCCAAATCTTATTCTGCCACATCCCACTTTCCACTGTTGTTTTATACCTCAGATCAGCAAACCAGCAGATCAATGTGTTTGTGAGCGTTATGCACCGCCTTTGGCGGGATCCAGTGCCAGATCTGGAAGGGTGGTACAGGAGTTTCTGCTCGACTGAGGTGGCTGGCAGTCTTTTTCCGCCCTTGTTCTGAGGTGCAGCAGCTGCGTACCAGATGCTGGCAGTAAAAGGCATGTTAACGCATGGCAAACAGGTGAACCTGGTTATAAACCCTGTGGTTTTGGAATGTAGTCATCACTCTCAAAGCCGACCATCACCCTTGGTCTTTGAATTTAGAGAATTGAAAGGTTCGTGCCATAGGGCCCTTTTTGACCTCATATAGAGAAGTGAGATAGGCCAGGACATGTGTTTGGCTCTGATAGAGAAGGCTAACTACCAAATCCTAAGCTTCTATGCTTGATATGAATGTACGCATACAGGAGAGGCCACATCGATTAGGTAAGTTAACCTATCACCATGGGGTCCTCAGATCTCAGTCCTGGAGGCATCTAAAATAACAGTGCAGAAATGTGCTGTAGTTGCAGATTATAACTCCATTTACTCGTTTGACAAGCAAAAGCCTCTATAAACTCTTTCTCTCAAAATATTAAAGGAGGGAGACCAACATGATAACATCACATAAAATCTTTCTGCAGCAAGTGATGACAAAAGCAGTTGTGTCGTAACAATGCACATATGCTGCGCAGAAGCTTCAGTTTTTAGATAGGAGCATGTTAAATACTTGATTTTCCTTTTGGCTTTCCTCATCTTTCAACAGATTCCGATTTCTATCTCTAGAAATGTAAAGCTAACAGTTTGACTGGACAGATCAGTTTGGTTGCCACATCTTGAACATTTAATTTTTCCTTATGCTCCAGCGTCTGTTATTCTCTAGTATAATCACACTGAATATCAATTAGGAGACAGAAAGACGGTTATGGCAAATTTAGGTGGGGGGGGAAATGAGGTGCTGACTGGAACTGTGGCTGTTTTGACTGGGGATGCAGGCTTACTCTGAATTTTCCTGAGCTCTGACAACTCTTCAGTTATACACTGCACGTGCTCAAAGGGTGACAGGAGATTTTGAGCTCCCTATAATTTGTCTTCCTCTCTCCAGAATCACAATAAATGGTCTCTTCCTCAGGCTGGAAGACAAGACAAGTGGTCAGTGCCAAAGTTATTTAGCAGATGGTGCTTGAGTAGTGAGCAACATCATCATTTCAAGTGTAAGGCACATAATAGATGTGTTCTGGGCTGGCAAACGAGACCCCAACGTTACTAGCGTGCTTCCGTCTCCCATCCTGCAAGATTCTGCCATCTGTCCAGACACTGAGCCAGACCTCCCTTAAAAAATAAATATTTCAGTTTCCCCCCTCACCGCCCGCATAGTCTTTCTGAAGCTCTTGTCATCTCCTGAGTTAAATAAGTGATGTGTATATGTGCTATGTGTGAGCTTATGTATATAATACGCGAGAGAGAGGAAAACAGAGACAAATATGAGAAATGCACCTTTGTATTCTGTTACTTGGGACAGGCAATGCTAACGATGGTAAATGTATTCAGTAAAATATGATGTACTTTTGTAGGTGTGTTGTACACCAATTATAAACAGTTTTGGCTCTTGTAATAAGTTAATCTCCTCTTCCCCTTTCTCTTTTCTGCAGAGTGTGACAAACTGCGAAGGGATGGCTATCGGAGCTCTCAGTATTACTCTCAAGGCCCAACCTTCTCCTCTTCCTCCAGTGCAATCTGTGGAAGTTACCAGGATGATTATGAAGAAATTGAACAAAAGGTAATGGTGGGAGACAAAGTACTGGAAGGAGTGTATGCGTCATACAGTTTAATTGCCTGCAATATTCTTATTATTCAAATAGGGTACGGTTTTTAAAAGATCATTTTAAGAATTATAAAATCATTTTAAAGGATCATAAGGTGCTAGATAGATGTTTGCCCTTTGACTTGCATTGCTTTTAGACAATCTAACTTCTGTAGGCTCTTAAAAATCCCAGTTTTACCTGCATATTTAAATAATCCTCCCATTGACATGATGTAAAAGCAAGGATGAGTTTGGTAACACTGTGGAGAGAAGACAGCAGTGCTGGTAGCTGTTTTGAAACTGATAAGTATATATAATCAAGTACTGGGAAGAGCTGTTAACCAGTCACCAATGTACTCAAACAGCAATGTGTGCACACTTTGAACTGCTCTCTAATAGGGTTACGCGTTTTCAGTAGTAGAGTTTTTTATCCTAATGCATCACAATCACTTGCGTAAGGGATGTAGAAGAATGAAAGATTGCCTGTCGAGGCTGGGTTTGCTTGCTGTGTTCAGTTTGTTTCACGTTTATATGCCCGCAGCTCAACTCAATTTGTGGTTGGTTAGCTTAGAGGCTAAAAACTAATGAAAGAAAGAAGGGTAGAGAAGGAACAGTTGAACAAAAATCCTAAAAAGGTTGTGGAGACACCTCGTGGATTTTTATCGAGGTTATATAGGTTTCAGTTGAGAAGCTGTTAATTTGCGTTAACATTCTGAAAAAGCAAGGGGGTTTCTCTGCTCTGTCCTTACCGTTTCCTGCTATGCCTATGGGCTCTGGAAGCTGTGTCCAGCCTTGGTGCTGTGGGTTAAGGTACTAGTTGTGGGGTGGACTGCAAGTTGCACTAGGAGCCTGCCTGTCCAAACCTGAAATGCTGGTTTGGTTCCCAGCTGCTGGGATTTTGGGGATAGATATTCTAGAGCGCTTTACCACAGAACGTTGCTTAGAGAGAGGTGGCGTATCCTTGACTGTAACACTGTTTAATTTTTTTTCAGTAATTACTAAACTGTATGTGTCTTTGTAGCATGGACCAAATATTTCTGTTGCTGTACAGCGTGGTGATCCTGTGCATTCAGCTTAAAGGATACCGTCATACAGCGTTTTCAATTCTATCCGCAGTGTCTTTTAATCCTGTAACAAAAACTGTTGTGATGTGTGTGCAGACTCTCATGCAGGTTTTGATTGCATTGTATCTTTATTTTGGCAGGAAATGTTGCAGCATCCTAGCTAGCTGCATGCAGTATGCACTATCAGTGAAAAGAGACTGTAAAGCACATTAATACCCTGGAATACATTATAATGATAACTTGTAAAACCTTACTGAAATCCATGGAGTCATAATTTGCATTGAGGAAAGTATCAACTAGTCGTTTGCTGCTATTAACATAATACATACCTTCCACAAATACATACTTATTATCAACTTGTCCTAGCTAGTGCTATGCAGCTTGTCACCCAACTGCATATGTAAAACTAGTGTAACATTTGAAAAATAAATTAACTTTAAAAAAATCTGTTTGAATGAGAGCATATTAGCATGGGGAAGGCCTCTTACAGAGTCAGAACCGTCATGCTTATTTTGGTTAAGATTTTCATGGAGTATAATCTTAATATAAGGTGTTACAAATGATTTCTGTGTATTCTGAAAAATTTAAATGCAACTAATTACGCCTCCTGGAAAGGATGCCACTTCCATTTTGAATTAGGATAGTTTCCTGTAAATTTTTTTTGCTGCAAGCATGGTTCAGAGCTGTGCAGAAAGATGATTGCCAAATTGACAGTCTTGGACGTTACTGATTTTCTCAGAACCTTAACTCTTATTTAGAGCTCAGAAAGATGTGAATCCATTACAAAACTGCACTGTGATTCTCCCCTCATTATCAAATTCAGTGTTTTGTGGTGTCCTTTGACTGGTATCTTTTTTTTAAATTGACTTTTGCTTTATGTAATGGCCTAAAATTTCATTCTGTTTGAAAGGAACATGAACCATAAGCAGCTCTCTAAACTTGACGTTTTACCAGTGGGCTTATAGTTCAAGAACTTCTAGTAAGTCGTTTTTCGGATGACAAAAGAAGAGTTATCGAGTAACGTTGTGGAACTGAGGTCACCAAGAGCCTATGATGGAAAATGTGAACTCCTTACCACTGAATAAAAGCTTTGTAGTTATCTTTGTTGTCTATTCAAGGCAAAAAAGCAAACATGTAAATTCTGAGCATGTAGTACTTGTTGAAATTTGAGGATGGCAGAATAATAATGGATGAAAGAGTAGCTGTTTGCTGAATTACTGTTTGCAAACTTACTTCTAAGTTGACATAATTGCCAACTCGCAGAAAAACCGTATTTTAGTGCGTGATGATTTCACAAAGGAAACCAGCTTTCCGTAGTCTTGTATCTATTTAAAAATATGTATACTGTAGCCAGATACTCTACTTGTCCATCTTCTCTGAAGACATAATATGAAACCATGGCTTAGGTCACACAAATGAAAGACCTAGATCCACAAACATTCTCATATTTTGTGCAGGTAAGTGTCTGTCACCAAAGGATAGTATTCATACTACAAAAACATGGTTCAGCAAGATTCTTGGGGAAAGATCTAAGAGAAGTTGAACATTTACTGTTTGAAAGGAAAGCTGCTGGGGGTAAGCAGGCAAGTTAGCCTAACTTAAACAAGCAAACAAAAGTAGAAGGCATAGAAAGTTGAAGTCTCTGAATGATAGTTTATATAAAATGAAATATATGGAACTACCTTTTTACTCTTATGTTGATTCTTACCAGTTACGTTAATGGAGCACAGACCAAATTCTACTTCAGTGTATTTCTGGTGATGCTAATTGAGTTTGTTGGAGATTAAATTGGTTTATCTGGATTTTACATCTCAGTACTGTAACCAGTGTTCCTTTTCTCATCTCTTACATACCAGTGTTGGTGACAGGACTCAGCAGGTTTTTCTGTTCCTCGCTATGGATCTGTTTTCCTAGTGTTAAGATCTTTTTGAAATGTCACTTTGCAACCCTGATTCGCCTTGTGTTCTGAAATGTATGCTTTATGTATTTTAAATGTATTTGTCTTTTATGTGTTTTTTCTCATTCTTTTTTCTTTCTCTTTTTGTCACTCATTCTGTTTGTTTCTTTTTCTCTCACTCAACAGTCTAGTCTGTTAGACTGCATCTCTCAGTCTTGCATTAGCGCCTGCTGTAACTTGGTTCCCTGGAGCATCAAGGTACTTTGCCCACAAATGGGACCATCCAGCTGTCATACATGCAGCTTGATGTTACTTGTAGCGTTAGTACATCTGCAATTCTATTATGTGTGCTCTTAGCCTTCAGTCATTACCTGCTTCTGTTTTCTGTCAAAAAGAAAAAATCAGCCACTCAAAAAAAAGAATGTCCACGTGTTTCACGTCCTTTATTTTTTCACGTTAATTCTGATCTATTAACATTTGCCACTTCTGAACACCTTCCCCAATGGAAGAAGAGTGTTTTATTTATTTGGCTGCCATTTTTTTTAAACTAGCCAAGAAAAACTTTCCTAATTTGGACCAGTGCAGCATTTCTAAAATGATGAACGCTAGCTCTACAAGGTACTTGGTCCTAGGCGTGCACTGTATTGTGTCTTTATTCCACCCAGGAAAGTGTTTGTATGCCAAAAGCTCACGATATTTATGCCCTGGTCCTATCGCTTGGCTTATGAACTTTACCTTGTTACAGTCTGTCAAACTTTGGGTGACGAAATGTTTACTGTGCTTATTTATGGGGAAAAAAGCATGCTTTTGCCATTGTACTCTGCAAACTCTTAGTTGTCTCTTCACTATCTGCAAGACACTGCTTATTATTATCTTAAGTGGAAGCAAATGCATTAACTTGTGTTGGTTTACAGGGACTTGCGAAGGTGTGGTTCAGAATTTTAGTTGATGTGTTAAGAGGGGCTAAAGGTGTTTGTCACTTGAGTTTGGAGGTGTGACTGTCCTAGAGCTCTGCGGCAAAGTCTCTGACAGAGCTGGAGAAATACTTCAAAGTGGTGGTGCCCTCAGCTGGTCTCCCTACCCGTCCCCTGCAATTGAGCATGGGTCCTTTTGTAATCACCAGGTGTATTTTATAATGCTTCACGCTTTTTCAAAAAGTTGCCCAATTTACTGACTTGAAACGACAATTCAAATGATAAAATGCGAAAGCATAAGGAAACGAATACAGAAATTCCTTGAGCAAACAGAAGAGGGTAATTCTTTGCTCACCATGTACTTAAACTGTGCAATTACTGGACGGTAAAAGTTTGTGTGGGTTCAGAAAGCAACCTAATTAATAAATTCTTGGGGGAAGAATCCATCCAACGCTGAGAGAATACGCAGGAGAAATGGGCATGCTTCCACTGATTTAGTCTTGCGTGCATAGCTTCTGTTGGCCGTTATCAGAAAGCAGATACTTCTACTAGATAGGTCTTTGATCTGACACAGTATGGCTTTTCTTGTTTTCAGTCCCCTTGCAACAGAGTAAAAGAAGAAGAAAGGAATCGTTCTGCAGTGCTGCTTAAGTGGATAACTTGCTTCATGGTCGGTAGTTTCTGCTGACAAATAAATCCCTTCTGTAATGAGAAAGTGAAGGCTACAAAGTGAAGGATTTACTAGTACTAACAAAGTTGCCTAGTGCAACTAAAGGTCTGTGTACAGAATTAATAAAAATATTCTAGTCTACAAAATCTGGGGGACTAGATTAGGGGTCTTGGTCTAAAGGACACCAAGTGGAGCAGGATATAACTGAGTCAAGTTAAATGTAATCTAACGTGAATTTATGATGTATCAGTGTTCTAGAACGCAGTATGAAATCCCCCAAGATGAAGCAGCCACGTAAACTACTGATTAACTAAGACACAGGAATGTAAAGGTTTTTTTTTTTCCCTATTCTTATTGTTTGATTTGGTTCCTTTGTGTTTGGAAAAAGGCCCCCGAAGTTACAATTTTAGAGATGATTACGGTATACATGATTAGGAGTTTCAAGTTCCTTTGTTGAAAGGTAAAATTGTATGGATTGAATTTGCGTCCTAGAGGTCCATCTTTTCAGACAGTGTAATGTAAGCCACCGGAACATGGTCCTTCTCCTCCACAAGGAGATTCAGAGTAAACAGGGAATTCAGGCAGGATGTGCTAGGAGATGAACAGGGAAGAATCACTTCCTTGATCAGCTGGGACCTTTCAAATAGTGTGAATGTGCTGAGATAGTGAAACTATTTTTTGTCCAAGGGACCTAGTAGACTGTGGGGACAATATTTCAGCAAGGAAATGAAGAGGTTCTGACTTACTGAGTTAAATAGCTTGTCTTTGTCCATAGTGTACTTATAGCCATTTTTCTCCTTTCAATTCCCATTTGAAAGTTCATGCTTCCCCTATATTGCGTGTTCATGAAAAACTCTTTTCACTCTTCCCCGGTCCATTAAAAAGAAAAATTCCAACAAACTCTCCTCAGGAGATAAGTACAACATCCCAAGTAGAAGCGACGCAGATATTTGGCCATCTAAGTCCAAAAATAAAGTTGTTATGAATCAAATATGCTTTAAAAATGGGAAAGGTGCTTTTTATTCTATTGTGGACGTAGGGTTTATGATCAGATTTGCTAAGCAGATAACAAAATCCCAAAGCACTGCCCAGTCTAGTCCTGTTTCTAATATAACATACCTTGCTTGAAAAGACATTCCTGTTTCTGCAGCAGCAATTAATCGAGTCTTTCTGCAAGCTTCTGTGTTGTAAATCTACAAATGTTTTCTAAAAATGTGTAAATCATACAAAGAAATGTGAAGTGTGCAATACATCTGGTTTTTATTATTGTGAATTTCTCTGCTCCTGTTTTCAGCCTGATTAGAGGTGGGTAATTTCTGTGTGAAGAAACCTGCAAGATGAGCAGTTTTCTGCCTTTGCACAGCTTTGCTTCTGTAATGCCCTTTAAAAGTATCTTTACATCAAAAAGTCATGAAAACCATGGGAAAAAAATACCTGCAGATGAAGCACAAACACTTCCTCCTACACTCAGAAACACCTCTGAATTATTTTATGGAAGTACACCACTGTCCTGTGGTAGAAAATCATTTTCATTGAAACAGTGCTTTGACCACAGCTGCGCAATTGGGTTTTCAATTGCTTTTCATTTGTTGTGTGTTCACTGGACTGATTAACGTCTGTCCTTCCTCCATCCTTCACTGAATCTGTGAAGTATAAGTCTTTAAAAATCATGACGATTATTTCCCCCTCCCCTTTTATTTTTTATTTTTTGCATACGTAAGATTCCCTTGTAGTAGGTGCTTCAGTTTTTTTCTAATCTGGGGGGGGGAAGGGAACAAATTAGTTGTGCTTTGTTTGGGTAGTTTCCTTGGAAAGGAAACATAGATTTGTAACCAAGTGCCTCTGTCACTTGAGGTGCTGGAGTAGCCCATGGGGACTGCTGCACAGCAGCTGAGACTTCCTGCTGCGGTATGGTTTGAAGGTGATGGTTATCGATGCTGACAGTATTGGTCAGCCGGACCAGGGGTAGGTTACTGGACCCTCTCCACACCCCCCCCCCCCCCAAAAAAAACCAAACCAAACCAAACCAAAACACCTTGACTTGCAACATCTCCTGTGGGGCCCAGATCTGGGTGGGAGAAAAGCACATTGGGCGGGGGGAGTGGGGGGGGGATAATATTTCTCCCCATCAAACCCTGATTACTCCTTTAAGCGCGCAGAGGCGCGTGCATGCGGTGACCCCGGCGCTGTCCTGTAGCAGCAGGGCTGCCCGCACCCACACCGCCCTCATTGCAAACAGCTTCTGCGTGAGCAGTTTTTAGAGCCAGGTGTGGGAAGGCACGGCCCGCAAGCTGCCTTCCCGCCCCTCTCTGGGGCCCTTTCTCTCCCGGGCTGCCTAAGTTAGTGAAGGCTTTTATAAAGCTGAGTGATTTGAGAGGGGAAAGTACTTGTGCTGGTGTGTAAGGCAGGTGTGTGTATATGTGCACACATTGTATTCTGGGGTTGTACGCACAGAAATGTATAAACCTTCACATAGATTTTATACAAAATGGTCTCAGGGCCTTTTAAAAGCAACGTGGGTCTCAAAACTGTCGGAGTCCTGCAAGTGACGAGAACAGAAAGGACTCGCGGTGGCTGTCGTGGGGCTGAGCCCTTGTGCGCAGAGCAGCCCCCTCCTCCCCCTGCCTAGGGGAGAAATGCAGTGCTGACAGAAACGTAGGAAATGTGGGAAACTCCCACGTTCCAAAGTACACGTCTGTACTGCAGAGTGGCGTTACTAACAATTTTGCTGTGTGAAAGTGTTTTTTTTTTTCCTTTTATTATTTTCTGAAGAGTTTTTTTTTGGTTTTTATTTTGGGGCTTTTTTTGGCTTGGAAGCTTTCTTATTATTTTCATTCTTTTATTTAATAAAAATCTGGGTCCTGCCCTAAAGAATTTACAATCAAAGCATAATGCAATAAACAAAGGGCTATTTATTTATAATAAAGAACAGGATCGCCTCACAGCAACAGGTATAAAATGAAAATCAGAAATTATGAAGAGTGATTGCAGCAGCCTGCAACCTCTGCACAGCTCCTCTGGAGCATTTTTGTTCTCTTTTTTCGTTTTGCCTGGGGGCAAGGAGGAGATCTTCCTCTCGCTTTTTTCTTCCTCTTTTGCTTCTGGGTTTCCCCCTAGTACCTTGCTGGCACAAGCATGGAAGCAGAGAAATCAGTGTCTCTTGGGTTTTGAGTTTGTGACCACTTTCTCTAAGCCCATGAGATGTTTTCTGTGTGCCTCAAACCTACTTGTCCTCACAATTTGCTGTGGGGTGATACTGTTGTATCAGTAAGAGACCATTACTGGCATCCAAATACAGACCTTGTAATGAAAACAGTTTTGCTATGCTAAAGCAAATGTCTCTTTTGGCACTGTAACTTTGCCTGGAAGAAGTATTTGTGCAAGCTGTTGCAGCCTCTCTTTCTGGTGCAGAAAATTTAAAAAAAAGAAAGAAAAAACAAAACACCAACTCACATTTTAAAATAAAGTGACTTTTTATCATGGACGTGATCCTGATGCTTTGGTAAGGAATGACGTTGAAAATGACCGTTCTGTGGCTGCTGAAGTTGTGAACTGCTTCACCCTTTAAAAACAAAGTAAAATGAACTTTCTGCCCTGTGGCATGCATTTCTCCAAGGCCAAACGCAGTTACTCCTGCTACCTCGCTGAGCCCTGGTTGACAAGCTTGCAGGGTGCCTTGGGTCTTTCTTCTACTGAGCTCTCTCAAAATTTGTTTCTTCATAACGAGCTTCTCACAGAGGCATTACAGGTCCTCATATCCGCATACAGCTAGGTCAAGGCAGTGCTCAAATCTCATCTTCCTGCAGGGCACTGTGAAGAGAGAGGGGAAGGGAGGCATGCTGCGCTCCTTGAACACTGAGGGAGGTTAACACTCCAGGCATAATGTAAATGTGTAAGATAATTACTGTGCTCTGCTCTGCTTCAGACCACTCTTCTCACGTTTGTATGTGCTCCTTAGACTGGTCAGGTGTATTGGATAAATACAATCCAGTTTAAAAATAAAAAAAGAAACGAAAAGCATGTATAGGGCAGCGTGATATTTGTGGGAGAATGGGAATGTATTATGTTGCACAGTCGGTCATGCTGACTGCAGTGGCAATGCTTCAGTACCATCGCAGTGCAGCACTTTTTTTTTTTTTTTTGGTAGTGAATTTATATTGTTGCATGTGTTTCTGTTTGTAGTGTTCCGTCTCCTCCCCAGAAGAAGAAAAGCTCATTGCCGTCAAGAGGCCTAGAACGCCCATTTCAAATGAGTTATCAGATATCAACACCCAAACCAACTGGACGAAGTCACTCCCTCTGCCAACACCAGAAGAGAAAATGCGACAACAGGCACGGGCAGTCCAAACAGATGTGGTTCCTATTAATGTGACTGGTAGGCTGTTCATCTCAGTATCTTCTTAGAATGCATATTGGGGGAGGGATAAAAGAGGATTCATCCAGTTGGATAGTATTTTGACACTCGTATACTTGATCTGTGAATTTTGTATTAGTAGCTGCACCTTTCTGCAAAACAGTGTTTTGTGTTTAATAAGCTCTGTCTCTGAGCTTAATGAGGAAAAACTCAAAATTCCTGAAAATGAGCATTAGTGAGGATAGTCTACGCAACACGAGCGTGAAACAGCATTTAGAGAATGCACAGAATACAAGAAGTTTGATATGTCACTGAATTTTGCTGTAATTGAAGATATGTAATAGAAAAGTATGTTTTGTGCAATGTTAATGATTTTTAGGATTTTCTCTTAGAAGTTTTATGTAAGAGAGGTTATCAGAGACTTCTGTATTCGAAAGGCTCAGGCATTCCAAAATTAGAGAAAAAGAATTCTAGGGTCTTATTTTATCAGTTATAAGAGGTTTAGGTGACAAGGAAAGTAGGGAA